ACCCCCAAGGCAGGAAACTAAATTTTCAGCAACTTCTGGTGTGAGTTGAGAATATATTTGGCAACAGAAATGTGAGATAATTTGACTTACTGGGAGAACTATAAGCATATGTTGTCAAAATTCATATTCACCAAGATCAGTTTTGTGTCTGAGATCTTACCATGAAAGAAAGAACCTGAAAATCTTGGGAATGAGTGCACTGTGTGCATTTCTGTATCAGCCCACATGGGCTGTTCCTAGATTTCCCAGGAATTTTGTATTCATTTTCAAGTAGTGCCAAAGACAGCTGAGTAAATAGATACAATTATTAATTTTAATTTTCAATTATTGCAAAATGGGGGAAAGACAATAAGTTAGTAAGCGAGTGAGTAAATTTATCATTTAAAATAAAGAGAAAGAAAGACATTGCAAATAGCCTAGACATTTGTTAACATTACTTTTTATCAGGGACAATGCAGTAATTCTTAGGTTCCCCTTTAGAAAATATAGAAATTTTATGTTTTTCTTTAATGTTACTTGAAAATAAATATTGTGACAATGCATATCAATGCAAAAAGAAAATTTTTCTTTTATTTTTTATCTAAATATGCTCTCACCTACCCTTCCCCCATTTTTGACCTGAGTTTCTCTTGAATGCATGCCCAGTCTCCTCTGCACCCTCGGTTCTGTTGATGAACAACTGGCTAGTGAGAAGATCAAAATAAGACTAAACAAATAGCATCACAGGAGGGACACTGACTCATCTTATGCCCAGAGGATTTTACCACTGTAAGTTGAGAATTCTGACTGTGCAAACACATTACTTGTGTCTGGAAGAATTCTGATGAAATTCTACGGCAGTCACATTTTGGATTACGGGAGGTTTGGGTGAGAAGGAAGATATTCAGAAAGGACCCAAATGATGCTATGTTGGTACCAAAACATGACGGCGGGTGTGTGTAATGGGCCAAGAAGCTCTGAGTACCCAGATTGCAGCTGGCATTGGGGGAAGGGGATGGGGGGGAGAGGATATGTGAGGGAATGAATAGCTCTAAAAATGAGGGTCAGATGCTGAATGTACGACTCATCTGCTTTACAGTTCTGTCCAAGAACAGAGTCATGTTCAGGTTTTAATCACTGTTTTAGTCTCTGATCATAGCTTGGTTTTTGATGGGAAGCTTGCTCCTCCTACGATGTTTGCATTAATGAGCAATCATTGCCCAGAATATTATCCCTCGCAAGGACTCATGAAGCAAACTCAACATTAAAGATGAGGGCTGCTGTTAGAGGGTTGGGAGGTGTTAATATTGCTACATGTCTTAGACACATCAAACACTTCTTGAAACATAAAAATTTTATAGCACCAAATAAGTGATCCTATAATAATAGTCTTGGGAACAATTCTCAAACAAATTAAAGATTTAACTATCATTTTTGCCACAGACTACAAACTATGTCCAGAAATTTACACCAATCAGGAGACATTTTACACATATATTTTATTCATGGTTTTAAAAACAGCTTTTTTTTTTTTTTTTAAATCTCCAGATACTTCTGTTTTTGAAACTTCCCCTTCCTCAGTGTTGGTGAAATATACTATCTGGAAAAGATATTTATGTAAAGTTTTATCACTGACTCTGAGTGCTCAGTGCAGCTTAATTTCTATTTTATAAGCCACCTACATGGAAACAGGTCATCTGATCATCAGTGAGATAAATCAAAGAAAATGGTAACTAATATTAGGTATTAACTATATTCTGAATATGGCAGTGAATTGTTCCATGGGCCCCTATTTGTGCATTCCCATGAAGTCTAAGATTTAGTCTCAAAGGTTTGAGAGGGGAGAGTGGGCTTCTGAGGTTCAGAGTGTGTATCTCATTTCTTGGCACATCATGCAAATTTACAACATTTAAAAATTTCCCCAATGGCTTTAATTTGATAATTATTTCTCCCTTGGGCAGACAGTCCAGTGCTGGTAGGTGAAGGGCTGATGTGACTCTGCCAAGGTCAACCCGTGGCTTCCACTCATGAAATCCAGGCAGCTGCTTCAGCTCTTTCCCAGCACAAGTCATGAAGAGGAGGATCGGGCACCAGAGAAGTCAAGTCAATTGTTTTTTTGTTTCAGTTTTGTTGTTTAGCTTTTTATTAAATGAAAAGTTTCAAACATACATAGAGTTATAAATAACAAAAATGACACCCTCCACTCATCACCTAGATTTCATGATTAACATTCTGCCCAATTTATTTCAACAATTTTTTCTGAAGTATTTTAATTACAGACAACATGACATTTCTACTGTAAATACCTTTGGGTACATCTCTGAAAAAAGGACATTTTCCTACCTAATCACCATATCATGATCACATCCGGTAAAACTAACAATTCTTTAATACCACCTAATACTTAGTCTTCCCAAAATGTGGAGTTCGCTGGTCTAAAACCAGAATCAATTCAACCTCTAAAGTCCAAGTTATCTTTTAATATAGACTAGTCCTTACTACAACCTCTTTATCTTTTCCCAAGACATTTCCTTGTTAAAGATAACAGGACAGTGGTCTTGTAGAGTGTCCCACCTTCTGCAATGGTCTGACTGCTTCCCTATGTTCTTCTTTGTTAAAAAAGAAACAGCAGATCAAAATAGAGTCACTTTTGCTAAGCTTTATCACCAAATCAAAATTTAGTAACTAACCAAATTGCGGTTACAGCCTCTCCCAGGAGTGGACTTTTAAACCAACCGATGTGGAATTTTCTGACCAACAGTAGTAATCTGCCTGACAAGGCTTCCTGCCTTCCCCTAATGGGAGCTGTCCTTGCCTGAAATATTCCACTCCTCTAACTTTTTAGTTCCACATTCTTTCTGTCTATAAATCCTTCCCATTTTGTACAACCCACCTGAGTACGCTTCTAGTTGCTAGCTGGGATGCTGCCCCATTTATGAATTGCTTAATAAAGCCAATTAGATCTTTAAATTTACTTGGTTGAATTTTGTTCTTTAACACCATGAGCATGTTTGTTTTCCCTCTGTATTTCATGTAAACAGGTAATTAGACCTGAAGACTTGATGAGAGCCAGGTTAAACATTTTTGGCAAGAATACTTCTTAGGTGATGCTACG